TGTTAGGAATTGATTAGTCATGAAATGATCTTGCGTTAAACAACAACAAAATATCATAAACAAAGAAAAATTATGCGTTAATTTAACAAAATAGCGTCATCTGATATAACTTCTGAAACCACATTCTAGATATGTTCGTTCAAACAGTACTTAAAATAATTTTAAAATGAACTGTATTTTGGATCGAAGAGGCACTTTCTTATTGTTTTATTTTTGTTTGTTTATTGGCAGATGATTCCGGATAGACCCTCAAAAACATGTGGAAAAATGAGCAACAGTGAAAAAACAAAAAATAATTATCTTCATTAAGAATATTATAGGGCATGTATAACATAACTTAAACAATAATTTAACCATAATATTTTTTGTGCTTCTGATGCATGCTCACGATAGATCATCTCTTGATATCTAGTTTATACTTCTAATTTGTTTTTAAAATTTTTAAATTTAAGTTTAAATGTGAAATTTTCTTATTTCAATTACCTAATATAAACGATTATTTCTATCTAAGTTCATAGTTATTTGAGAGTATTAAAATATCACATTTAAAACATACAAATGCCACACAATTTTTAAAAACTTTACAAATAATAGATAAAAAAATATCATTAAAACTTAAAGAATATAATTCTAGATTGTAATGCTTAAGTGTTAATTTTCACTAAAAATCAAAATTACCTTTAAATTTTCAAGATCACTTTGTAATTTTTCTTTACTGACACTTATATTTAAAGAAAATATAAAATTTTCACATCCATCAAGCCATTCATTAATTTCTCTTTGACCAGACTCCAAAGCGTCGTATTGTACTAATACATGATGTAGAGCGTTTAATTGTACAGGTATATTTGCTCTTATATTGACAAGAGATTCTACAAAAAATAATTAAAATCCATTTCATTTGTTCATAAGAAATTCAATACTTTATACCTTTTTCTCTTTTTAAACAGAGCATCATATCATTTACTTCTTCTCTTGACAAATCTTTAATGAGTATTTGAAATTTTTTACTTATAGCTTTAAATAGATCATCCATTTGACCTAATTCATCTTGTAAAGTCTAAATACAATTATTTTTAATTTTTTGTGTCCTATTTTCAGTAAAAAAATAATTATTTACTTGAATATTTTTAATCCCAACTTTAATTTTCTCGGACGAATTCAAATTTACNCAACTTTAATTTTCTCAGACGAATTCAAATTTATAGTAGACATAATTTGATCTGCTCGAATAATCCATTTATGTAATATTTCGAATCCTTCAAAATATTCTTTTCTGATTCTATTTAGATCCCCAGATTGTAAGTAGTTTTTAGCATTCTAAAAGTATAAAATGTTGTAAATTAGGTATATCAAATCATTCACATACTTTAATAGTATTTTATTAAATAAAACAAACTTACTGAAAATACACTATCCCACAAGTGAGAAATATTCATGAACTCTTGTTTGAGTGATTCAGCAGTAGACTCCTCACATGTTACGACTAAAAAGCTGACAGCGTCATTAAGTAATTCATATTTTTCTTTCCACACCCCAATATTCTAAAGAAATATATTCAATATAAAATAACGTATATAAAAATAATTTAAAAATTTACTTGAAAATATTCAATTTGTTCTTCATTAGATAGATTTATTTTTGTCATTGAGACTTGAAGCCACGCTTTTAACTCATCAGACAATACTTTCCAGCGTTTCCAATATAATACTACTTCTTCAAGCATACTGTGAGCACATCTCAGTTCCATAGCGATATTTTTCCACTGTTCAGCAGTTTGTTTTAAAAATTTTTCAACTGCTATTGTTTCTTTGTAGTCTATATGACACTCTTGTTTATACTCTTGAAACACATTTTTCATGTCTATAAATGCTTTATTAAATTCTTGAAAAATATTATTTCCTATTACGAAATTATTATATTTTTCCAGTAATATCATAACGTCTTGTAAACGACCATATTTCACAGTCCATGCTTTTAATTTATTTTCAGTTAAGTTTAAAAATGCGATCAAACAACACTATAAATATAATACATATATTTTAATTACGAACAAAATCAACATGCTTTTAATTTTTATTTCATTCAAAGTAGCTAATTGCATGTATAGTGGTTACATATTTAATAAATGATTGAGTTAAATCCATACGTTTACCTTATGTTCCNATGTATAGTGGTTACATATTTAATAAATGATTAAGTTAAATCCATACTTTTACCTTATGTTCCAAATATTTAAGGCGACAACGTCTTTTTTGAGATTCTGTTTCGATTATATTAAAACGCATACTCAAGTTTTGCACTTGTTTATTTTGACTTCTCGACTTGGTTAAAAGTTCGTTAAATTTTTGTTGAACCTCAGGCAAATCAGCAAAAAACAACTATAACATAATTTTAAACAACTATAACATAATTTTCAATCAATACTATGTTAAGAATAAATTTATTTATTAATTTACCTTATGATCTTCTAATTTTTTACTTATAATCACAGCAGTTTGT